GAGCAATAATCTGTTTCAAAGAGAAGAAATTTGTTACTTTTAGTAAAGCGCTCAACAGAGTAAATGAGCCACACTAGGCTCTCAAAAACAATAACTGCTATTATTATTTGTAGCTAATGTATATTCTGTATATAAAGTGTGCTCTCTTTCATGGACAACCATAAATTAACGATGTTGTTAGATCTCCACAAGTCAGCCTGACTCACTGTGACCCTAACCACAGTGAAATGAACCACTGTCCAGTATTACACCATCCTCATGCTTGTTGTGTTTGAACCCTTTGTTGTAGGCACTGTGCCAAACCGTCTCAGTGAGATCTTTCTGATGACCCTCTGTTTTACCAAGCATAATGTTCTTCTCTGGGCAAAATTCCTGATAAAATGCCCAAAGTATGTGAGAAGTCCTGCTACCTGCACTTCTAAGGGACAGGCTGGCTTACTTTTTCAAGACAGATATTGCCATTCTTCCATTCCGTCCATGCTATACTCAATATATTTCACCAGTACCAATATTCAGAGGATCAATGCTTTCCATGCTTATGAGGCCTTGTAAAAAATCCTTGGCTTGGATCAAGTGCATTGTAGTCCTCAAAAGGATAGCTTGGCTTTTTCGCACTTTGTTGTTGTAACATGCCATCAAGTTTATTCCAGCCCATAGTGAATGAAACTATGTGCCGGAATAAACTTCCGGCACAAGAGAATGAAACATTGCCCAGTCCTGTGCCATCCTAACAATTGTTCCTATGCTCGAGCTCATTGTTGCAGCCACTGGGTCAATCCATCTCATGGAGGGTCTTCCTCTTTTTCATTGCCCCTCTACTTACCCAGCATCATCTCATTCTCCAACTGGTCTCTCCAGAGAGGATGCCCAAAGTATATAAGGCAAACTCATGTCATCCTTGTCTCTAAGAAACATTCTGGCTATACTTCTTCCAAGACACATTTGTTTATCCTTTTGGCCATCTTTGGTACTTTCAATATTTTGTGCCAGCATCACCATTCAATTGTATCCATTCTTCAGTCTTGCTTCAAAAATGTCCAGCTTTCATAAGGCCATTGAAAATACCATAGCCTGGATCAAGTGCACTGTCGTCCTCACAGTAATATCCTTGCTTTTCAACACTGTAAAGTTTATGTCTTGTACAGCATATTTACCCAATAAAACACGTCTTTTGATCTCTTGACTGCTGCTTCTGTGGTCATTATTTGTGGTTTCAAATAAGACAAAGTCCTTGCCAGCTTCAACCTTCTCTCCATTTTTAACAGTGTTACCTATTGGGCCAGATGTGAGGATGTTGATCTTCTTTACAATCAGTTGTAGTTGATACCAAAGGCAGCAACCCTTGATCTTCATCAGCAAGTGCTCCTCACTTTCAGCAAGCAAGGTTGTGTCTCCTGCATGTGGAAAGTTGTTAATAAGCCTTCCTCCAATCCTGGTGCCACATTGTTCTTCATTATTATCCAGTGTCTCTGATTATTTGCTCGAAACCCAGATTGAATAAGTATGGTGAGAGAATGCAACCCTGACACACACCTTTCCTGATCTTGAGCTATGCAGCTGCCTCACCATCGGCGTTTTACATGAGAACAATGAACTGTTCTGGAATTCCTGTTCTTCTTAAGACGATCGATAGTTTGTCATAATCCACATGATCTAATGGCTTGGCATAGTCCATAAAACAACAAATGAACATCATTCTGATATTCACTGTTTTCGGCCAAGATCCACTGTTTTCAGCCAACATCAGCAATGACATTCCTTATGCCACCTCGTCTTCTGAAACTGGCCTAAATCTCCGACAATGTACCGCTGCAACTATTGTTCAATGATCTTCATTCAAATTTTACTTGCGTGTGATATGAATGACATTGTTCTGTAGTTTGAGTATTCTGTGGGGTCACCTTTCTTTGGATTGGGTACTTTGGATTGGGTACAGATATGGGTTTCTTCCTATCAGCCGGCCAAGTGGCTGTCTTCCAGATTTCCTGGCATAGCACTATAGAGATGTCTTTTGCAACATATCTGCGCATCCTTTGATTTCCTGAATGCTGCTTCAACGGGCATTGATTGTGGACCCAAAACTAAATTCTTGACAGCTTCAGTCTCTTCTTAATTTATTATAATGTTATTTATGCATAATCATAATGATATAGTTGTGAGATTTTTTTATGTTGAAGTTTAAGTCATGCAAAAACTGCAGTCTTAGATCTTCATGAGAAAGTACTTCAGTTCTGTTGATTTTTATCAACCAAGGTTGTGGCATCTGCATTTCACAGGTTTTTCATTAGTCTTCTTCAGTCCAACTGGTACATTCTTCCTGGAGCCCTGATACATTGAGGAAAGTCGAAGGTTGTAAATTTTGAAGGGGGCTTTTGAGGAAAATGGCAGTTTCAGTTAAACCAAATGTTTTGACTACAGTTTATATCTTTTTAATTAGTAATTATAATAGCAACCATTTGGTGGCATCAATTCCATGATGGGCACTAATTTAGGTTTTTTATACCAATGATCATCTTTAAATTAATAAAATAATTCAGAAGGGTAGTTGTAATTATCTTTTGAGATTAAGCAACTTGCTCATAGGCACAGAATAAACAAAGTTATCATGAGTGCTTGATTCAAACACTGGTTTAATATATATACAGCATAAATAGATAACTTCAATACTAATAAATACATTACAATATAGGAAATCATAGGGAAAGACCAGAATGCTGTGGGTGCATATAGCCATAAACTTGAATTTTGGAGAAGGCTTCTCAGATGTAAGAAAACCAAAATAAGGCCTCATGGTTTGGGAGCCTGACTGTTAAAAGGGAGAAAGTGTCCCAGGCATAAGAAAAATCTTAGAGATGACCTTCAAAGAAGTGAAAGTCCAATGCGACCGGAATATATAATGAAAGAAGGAAAAGAGTGTTGAGAGATGAGACTGGGGCTGGAGCAATCCAGCCTCTATTTATGTTCTACATAATGTGTTCAACTCCAAGTTAAGTATATTTCTTAATAGAGATCATAATATGACTAAAAAACAAGTAATTAGCATTTCAGGTTCTGTCTACCCGGAACACCAGAAGTTAAAAAAGTCTATTTTGCGCACTAGAATGTTTGGGAAGTTCATCTAGTGGTCTCTTTCACATGGAGAGAGATGGCATCTCTGAATCTTGGTTCTTCCAAGACCAGTGCAACCGAGCTACGTTCAAGTGTATCATGGTGGGTTGAAAGGGTTTGCTTTCCTAGATCAATGATCGTTTTAAATGATCGCTTCACAGCCACCAATCAGAGTGCCCTGTGTTTGCTGTTCTGGCACAGCCTTTAGATTTTTCACTGAAAACCAAAATGATTTAGCACAGGCTTGTGCCTGTTTTCTTCCATTTTTATTCACCTAATGATACTTCCCCACGTTTGAGAACTGACTGTTTTCTGCCTCTGAGATAATTGTGAATTTTATTTTCTACATAAAATGTTGCATTACTTGGTAGCATATTATTTATATGTAGCCCTACCTGGGGCAGGAGAATTCAGCAGGAACAGAGTAGTCGGTCTTTTGTGAGGCAGAATGCCACTGTGGCCTAACAGATTTGGTTGAGCTGTAATTTGCTTTGTTCATTTTCCTAAGTTTGGCCCTATTACTTGGTGAGTATTTTCTGATTGAAGATTTCACCTGGGATAGGCTGCTTCTACAAGCATGAATTGAAAACCTACTTTGAGTCATTAAACCAAGACTATTTGTAAACATGACAGGATTTCTTAGCATCATTTTGGAAAGAGTTCGTATGCCCTTATACCATTTTCTTAATAATATATTCCTTAGCGAAATGTTTCTTAGCTAAACCATTTATTCTTATATGGCCTAATGGCCAGGAAAAGAGATTTTATATGGACTGTGATAAGAATTGTACCAGCCCCCAATAAAATAATTTTTAAAAAAAGAAAAGAGATTTTATATATGTTACCAGTTAGTGTCATACATGTTTTTAAAACGTAAAGTCAGCATTTGGACTCCACAGTCATTGTCTTCATTAGCAGCATTTAGAACATGATAAGTAAAGGGAAGAGCTTTGGGTTGCCTTTTGCATTTAGCTTAGGGAAACATGCATCCCATTTATTTCATTAATATATATTTTAACGGATTGAAAACTATAGACGTAAGTGATGAAGATAAATGCTTGGTGTACTTTTTGAAGCCATATTTTCAACTTTGCATAGTAGGTGACAAGTAATTGTGGTCGTGGAAATGGATTATCATATCCAAATTTACTCCTTAGTGCAAGAAGGCATGAAATACATTTTAATGATGAATCAGTCCAGTGATGATGTTTTTAAAAAACCTTCTCTTTTGTTCAAACTGATTTAAAAATGCTCTTTTCTCACAAAATAATTTTTCTAGACTGTGCTCATTTCTTATTTAAAAGGAACAACTGAAGCTATTTACAGGAGCCCTGTTAACAAAGTAATAATACTGAAACTTGGGTTTCATGGTTTCCATATGAATGCATATCTTAGATTTCTTGTGTTTTATAGCACCTGGTCAAAGAATAACTATTTAATTTCTTACAGATTTTCCTTTAAAAGCTTTTGAAAGACAGTTGGGAGGGATTTGCTTGTGAAGACACCTACCTTTCTTCTTTTTTTTTTTTTAGAAATGTTATGAACTCTGACTTCCAAATCAATCCCCCTGTCCTGTGGAAACTATTTACCAAACGCTGTTGTGCACTCACCTATGCATTGTTTCTAATAATGTATTAGTAGTGGTTATACAGTGTTCTGGGCTCCTAAAGTATCAGAAAGAATTGGATTGTATGTAAAATGAAATGCGGAAGCACATAACGCCTTCATTATTCTAGAAAGCTAGCTCTGTTTTCCATGCCTGAAAGTCTGAAAATGCCCTCTCATTCACTTAAGATGAAGCATCGACAGTTGTTATTAGTAAGACACCGCATTGTCTGTACCTTGCTGTTTTACCAACCTCCACTCCCTTCTCTCTTCTCTTTTTCCCACAGGTGATTTCTATTCACTACTTTCCAAGCTGCTAGGAGAAAGGGAAGATGTTGTTCATGTGCATAAATATAATCCTACAGAAAAGGCAGAAGCAGAGTCAGACCTCATAGCCGAGATTGCAAACGTAGTCCAAAAGAAAGACCTTGGTCGGTCTGCTGCCAGAGAGGGTGCAGAACATGAGGAGAGGGGCAATGCTATTCTTGTCAGAGACAGAATCCACAAATTCCACAGACTAGAATCTACTCTGAGCCCAGCAGAGAACAGAGTTTGCTCATTGCAGCAACCTCTTCCTGGTGAAGGCACGTGGGAACCAGAGCACACAGGAGGTGCGTGTAGGGCTGCTTTGACGGAATGTCATGCTGGGGCCTGCAATCCACATGAGCAAAACCTGAAGGGAATCAAATGTAATGGGTGAAAAAACAAATCAATAAAAAATATTTAGGAAAAAGCTTCCCACAGATTTAGGTTAGTCGTTAGATAACATCTTTCTTTTCAGAGTTTTTTTCCTTCTCATTTTGGTCCAGTACTACCCAATGTGGTTTCTGGTCTAGCTATGACCCAGAAGTGCACGGACCCAAATGTATTGGGACCATTTCTGGGAGGAAGACCAATCAAACAGAAGGGAACAAATTCTTAGCAAATCAACATTTTCTATTCCCTAAGTGGGAAAAAATTGAATTTTCAAAACCTGATTGTAATGTCCCAGTGTATAAAATGTTTGTACACTACCTACATTTAAGATTAATTAAATTTCTCTCAAAGGAACCTTTATACTTTCAACATTGTTATTCAATGGCCTTATAAAACATGACCATTGTTAAGACTTTTTGATTTCTGAAGTTCCATTTTCAGTTACTGTCTTAATTGGAAAGTTGAGTAGTTATTGCAGGTGGGACCTACAACAGGTCAATGACTATCAAATTTATCGTGATTTCTAAGGAGGATTGTCTTCTACATCTGTTCCCTTCAGGTTTCTGTGCCCGCAAGCTCTGGATGCTTCATCTTTGTCTTTAATTGTGTCGTGGCCCCTGTGATGTTGATTGTGTTTCCTGTACTTGCTAATGTGGAAAGCCAGCTAATGCAGCATGTGGAGATCGTTTTAAACAAAGGAACAGCTATGTGTGTGTGCAGCTGTCATGCGTGGGCCAGACTGGCACAGACTACCCGCTTGATGTTTTCAAATACAGTTTAGCAGGAAGCCATAAATCATTCAACACCAATCTGAATTTTATTTATAATTGAAAAAAATTATCATGCAGAGCCTTTTGCCCACACAGAAGGGTCAAGCATTGTCCATTGGGAATGACCTAATCGACTCTGTACGAAGTTAGATGTTTATCACTTCATATTTAAACAGGATCAGCTGTGGTCTTACCTAAGTTGATGGAGTGAGTCAGCAATTCTCAAGGGCTGACCCCTAGAATCAAGAATCAGAGCCTCCTCTTGTGCTTGGGTGCCCCACCCCAGCACAACTGAATTAGCATCTCTCAGAAAGGTGCCTAGAGATCCACAGTTTACCATACTCTGTGTAGCTCACACAAACACAGTGGAGTGTTTGTTTAAACCTCCTTCCTCAGGACAGTGAATTGTAACCCAAGCCACATAGAAATATAAAAGGCAAGAGGGTCTCTTTGGTGAGAATAGAATTCTATCTCAAACAACAGCTGTGGAATGTCAACCTTGCCAAATGCTTTATTCCCATGGCCTGTCTTTGTTATTTTTAGATGGGAAAATGCACTGTGGTCATTCATAGGTATTTTAAGTGTCAGTGTAAAATTCACAGTTTGACTTCAGGCATTTTGTTCCGTGAAACCTGCTTGGCTTTTCTGAGAAAGACATGCTTAAAATACCTGGAATACATCTGCTTTCCAAACCTCCTCCTCCTCCTTTCCGAGGGGCCAGTCACTGCTCAGGAGACGGCGGCGCTTCAGATTGTGCTTCCTGGTGTTTCTTTCCATTTGACGTAGGTGAATGGGCGTCACAGAAGTCAGCAAAACAAGCCCCTGAAATATAGAGGGGAAAGTCCTGATTATACAAAAGAAATAAGCTTGTGGTCTCTTTCTGAAAGGATTTATTTGCATGCTAGTTCACTACTCTTAATTGGAATTTTTTTTAAGTTAAATATAAAATAGCAAACTCATGTTTGGCTCGGCTATCTCAAAAAAGCCTTTCGCCTTCACGCTCATTCAGTGCTTACCATGTAGACTGTCTCACACAGTGTACTGCCTAACTTTAATGGAAGCTGCATTATTTCATTATGTAAACCAAAGAAAGCCTTAACCTTAGAAAATTTTCTTTCACAAAAAAGAAAGTAGAAAGTGAAATTTTAGAGCAATAAAAGCCCTAATAAAATGTATTAGTAGTCAAATTCATGCATATTCCTTAGGGACTGAACAGAGGGAATTCATTTGACAGATAACCTTCCATGGTTTCTTCTATATCCTTGCTTTGCTCCAGGCAAAGCTAGGAATGGGGCCTTCGTGCTTTGCAGGAGTTAACTAACTCTCTACCTAAGTTCCTAGATTGCTACTCAGAAATATATTAGCTGCAAAGAAGGGAGTAGCTTTTTAAATGAGGTTATAATATTAAAGCAAAATGTTAGAAAATTATGTTGCTTAATAGCAAAATCCATACTAATTTCTGAGATATTCTAGCCTAAATTTTTAAATTAACAAACTAAGGCCTTGATATGCTAACCCATTTTAATGAGGTAGCAGAGTCTGAATTTACAAGCTGAAATTTATGAATTCTAATTGCACTATAGTTCTTTATATTGCAATAGTTTTACATTTCAATATACTTGTATTTAAAGGGGCCTGATTGCTTACCCCGCTCAGATAAATGCCCCTTGAGCTCCTGAGTCTCACTGTCACCTGGGAACTTTTTTTGCCCCTCTTATTTAGAAGCTGGAAGCTTCCACTCAGAAGAACCTGTTCAGATGTCCCAATTCTTGGCATCAAGGCAACTCACAACAATGGTGCTTTCAAGTGCATCACATTGGATTTTAGTGGAAGATCCATATTCTGTTACAGCAATATGATGATGAGTTCTATCCAAATAATGTGAGGGGCCTTCCAACCAAGGTGAAATCATTAGAACAGCTCAAATTTTTAGGTGTATGGGGTAAGGCTCAGGATTTTTTGTTTTTTTAAGATCATTTTATTGGGGGCTCTTACAACTCTTGTTACAATCCATACATCAGTTGTGTCCGACATATTAGTACATATATTGCCATCCTTCCTTCCTAGACATTTGCTTTCTATTAAGCCCTTGGGATCAGCTCCTCGTTTTTCCCAACCTCCCACCCTCATGGCCCCAGATAGATTACAGATTGTTATTATTTTCATATCGCCCACCGTTGGCTGTCTCCCTTCCCCTCTGGTTTCTGTTGTTCTTCCCCCTGGGTGTGGGCTGTGTGCTTATGTGTCAGTCATTGCGATCAGTACCCCCTTCCTCACCCCCTCTTCCCACTACCCATTTGGTATCACTATTTTCATTCCTGTTCCTGGGTTCCATGTGTTGTAAGTTTTATCTCTTGCCTATACCTATATACATGCTCTGGTCCAGTCCAGAGTGGGAAGCAGCACTGGGGTCATGATAGTGTGGGGTGAGGAAGCCTCAAGGAATCAGAGGAATATTATGTGATCCATCGGTGCTCTACTGCACCCTGATAGACCTTCCCTGCTACCCCTCTGTGGGGAGATGTTCCATTGTCTACAGATGGGCTTTGGGTCTCCACTCCAACCCCTCTCAGTCTCACCAATGCATTTTTGTTTGTTGTTTGTTATGAATCTTCTGATGCCTGTTACCTAGGCTCGATGACACCTCATGATCGCACTGACTGGTGTGCTTTTTCCATGTGGGCTTGTTGCTACACTGTTGGATGGCTGCTTGTTTAACTTCAAGACTTTAAGACCCCAGATGCTATATCTTTTAATAGCTGGGCACCATCCACTATCTTCACCATATCTGCTTATGCACCCATTTTGTCTTTAGCGATCATGTTGGGGGAAGGGGGGAACATCACAGAATGCCGTTTTGTTAGAATAAAGTGTTCTTGTATTGAGGGAGGGTATGAGCTGAGGCCCAAGGCCCGTCTACAGCCTCAGTGTATTGCCTTATAAATATATGTACACAGGGCAATATCTCTGTTTTTATGGATTAATGTTTGTACATAAGTACACACCTCTGTTAATACCTCTATCTATAGCTTTGCTTCCTTGAGCTTGCCTCTTTTTCCTTTTGCCTCCTCCTGCCCCGCCATCATGTTCCCCCTTCTTCCACCTCTTAGTACTTCCTCTCAGCTAGATTGGTGTGGCTCTAATACCCACAGGATCTCTACAACCTCCTAAATGTTGGTTTTAATTCCCCCATCTATGGTGTTGTTTTCTCACCACACTCTTGCCCCTCCCACCTTCTCCCCTCCCCACCCCTAGGGACCCTCCGAGGCTGATGGCCCCGTTGCTTTCTCCCTGAGCTTGCTTTCCATGTCTCGCTTATGTAAGTAGGCAAACCAGCAATGTCTTAGTCCAAACAATAAGAAAACAAAAGGTTGAAAAAAGAAAAGGGAAAAAAAAAAAAAAAGCCATACATAGTTCCAGGTCTGTCCGCTGGCCTTTATGCATCTCTACCCCTGGTCCTGGCGGAGTTCCAGGGGCTGCCCTTCCTAACCCAGTCTATTTGGGGGTCTCTTTAGGGGGTTTTGGATTGGCTCTGCTCCAATTGATGATCTGTTATGCTCCCTTCTTGGTTTGTCCCACTGTGGGGGATTCAGACCACATTATCTCCTCACTGTGTGTACCCATTACTGTCCTCTGTCAAAATACGCTCCAATTAGGGGACAACATGTCTTGAGTTGTTAAGGCCCAGGATTCTCAAAATTTTTATGATCAGGATTTCATTTGGCCCCCACACTGGCCTCATTGTTGATAGAATATCAGTGGGCACCAAATTGCATGAATTGCACAATAGAATGACATCTTCCAATTTTGCATAGGTAAGAAAGGTTTTCGCATTAGTTAGCTCGGGATGATTAAGGCCTCTTCTTTTTTTTTTTTAATCAATTTATTGGGGCTGATACAATTCATCACAATACGTAGATCAATTGTGTAAAGCACATCCTCTTTCTTCTTAAGAGGGCAAAATCTGCACATGTTTGTAAATGCATGAGTTGTGAGTGAGCTTCAACATATACTCCTGAAGCTTTTCTCCAAACAATTGTGGAACTAGCATTAACAAGAAGGATGTTTTTGAAAACCATTCCATGGAAGTAATATAATAGAGAAGACTTCAGACCCTGGAGCCTGACTGCCTGACTTTGAATCTT